TCAATCCACATTTATCAGGAACCTGCATAGGATTTGGCCAGAGCACCGAAACGTGTTCTGCAGGAATTGCACAGGGCCAGTGCCTCTTCTTTCAGTCTTTACAAAAACCAAATCTGGCCACAGTGTGCTGCAAAACGTTGATGACAGAAGTGGGCTGCAAGAATGTGGCAGACAGATTGACTAGGTACCACTGGATGGGAGCAAAGAGATACTCTCTGTGGCCACTTAGTGGTCATCTGGAGTTTTGCAGCCCAGATTTACTAAGTAGTGCTAACATAAAGTCCTGCTGCCTCCTTTTCCCCAAGAGCTGATTGTATGTGCAAGCCTGGGCACCAGAACAGGTTGCACTCTCAAATGTAGCCGCTAGCTCTTTAACAGATGACCAATGTTGGGATAGGAGTCCATCTGAGAGGCTTTCCATGAGACCCCTGTACCCATAGCTTCTCCCATTGTGGATCTTTCTCCTGCTTTCGCTCTGATGTGCTGCCCTTATTCTGACATTCAGTGCATGGCAAGCAAAGCGATTAGCAAATTCTCTGGCTTTGCTGCCCTCCCTTTTTTCAGTATATCATTATCCCTTGAAAAAAAAGTATATGTCTCTTTTGCGAGATTTGTCTTTATTTGCTCTACGTCGCCCTCCACCTTGTTCTCTGTCGTTTCTTTTCTTTAGATCTTACCCTTCCTTTCTGAATGCTTTTCCTAGGCTTTTCCTGCTTGTTCCCACCTGTTTTCCACACAGTCACCCGTTGACTTATCAGAAATGCGGCCCTACCGCTGTGCACTGGGGAGGAATATCTACACAGCCCTCTCAAGAAGGCAGCTCCACCTGACTAGAAAGACAAGGAGGGATGTGCTGGGTGGGCCAGACTAGCTCTGAGAGAAGGTGCAGGAGCCCTCGTTGGCTCTTCTCTCAGAGAAGGTGAAAACAAGATGGAAACAGATGAGGCTGAGAGGGAAGAAGGATATGCCCCCTTCAGCCTAAAGGAGTGCCTCTCTGATCACAATGGCTACTGGTCCCTCAATTTTGCCTCCGTGTAATGGTGGTGAGACGCAACAGCTTTTACACACCTCACTGCTGTTGTTGGAATTATTTATTTGACTTGCTTCCTATCACAACTGGCTAGGATTCCAGGGGTTAACACACATAAATAGGTCACATAAAATGTCCACAGTAAAATATCAATGAAGAACAATTCTCCAAACCTCAGAGCAACAGCAAGTGCCAAAAATAAAACGAGAACAAGAAGAAAACAGTCCCGATGGTGGCTGCTCTCTCCCCAAAGGCTCCCAGGAAAAGCTCTGCCTTCGAGCATCTTCCGAAAGGACGACTCAAGGAGGCCTGGCTGATCTCAGCCAAGAGGCTGTTCCAAAGATCAGCCCCTGCCATGGAAAAGTAGACCCTCTGGGCCTCAGCCTCCCTCCCTGCCCAGAAATGGGTACGCACATGCCCCAGCTTCTTCTGGGGCAACTGAGTCACGGTGCTTTCGCTGAAGGGAGAAAACCCTGTTTTAATATCAGTACAGCTAAGGATGACTAAAGGCTGCCTCACACATAGGCTGGAGTTCGATGAAGGCAACTGATGGGGACATGGGAGAAAGAAGGCTGTGATTAAGGGCAGTGGGGAAAGCCCAACATCGGTTGCATTTGCTTGCAAAATTGAATCAGTTTGATTTGCTGTTTTAAATTCCTCAGCAATTGCTTAGATGAAAGTCATAATTCTTTCCCATTCCCTCGCCTGGTCTATAAAATGCAAATATATATATAAATCATACATTCAAATTATTTTTACTTTTACATGAATTATCTCAGGCAAAAGAGGCAGGCTAAGTTTGGGGAGCGAGTTTTGGTTCTATCGCATTATGCAACAAAGGCTGTACCTAAAATACTTTTGCGAGACAGGATCCTGTTCAACATTTACTTAAAATTTCCCCTGGAAAATAGGGATGATGAAAAGAATACATCTGGATCTATGAGTAACAGGCTGGTGATTTTCAGTAGGTAAGCTCTCTGACTCTCAGTTATTTAACAGCAATAACATTTCACTGAAATTTAGAGAACTTGGGGTAACCAGAAGTAAACTTCTGTTCACTGTAAAAGAACTGCTCAATTCCAATACTAAAAATGAAGTTTAATGTTCAGAGACACTCTGTGTTTAAACCGAAGAGATATGTCAATAATAAGAATAAGAATAAGAATAAGAATAAGAATAAGAAATTTGCATGCTTAAGCAACAGTGCCTTCTACGGTAATAATAGTAATCATTTATATCACACTTAAGAACTAAGCACAGATTAGTAAAAGAAATATCAATTAAATTAGAGTGTACAAATGCAAAGTAGTCAGAAACCTAGGCCACTCTAATTCTAAGTGAATAGTGCAATACTAACCAAGTGACCACTTTACAATAGAAATAATAGATAAACAAGACCCAATAAAACCTAATAGCAATCGGTAACTAATTAATTAAACTGAATCATGTATCATGTACAACATGATTTGCAGAAGTCTCTAGTCAGTGGGTCACTGCAGGGAAAAGCATTTAGCCAAACTTAAGCATTAAGCAGGGTTAGACATGGTTAGTAGTACGTGGATAGGATACCTTCAGGAAATCCCACGGCTGTAGGATAAATGAAGAATTTAAAAATAACGTCCTGGAAGAAGGCCATGCAGTGGCCCCAAATGCTATGCGGATGCCTCTATGAATTTCCCAGGAGCTGCATCTAACTCAAAAGAGCCTTCACCTACTTAGGTCGAGGATCTTGAGGTGATGTCATCCCAATAATAGCAACAAACAAGTTTAGGTCTGCCTAACCCAACTGCGTGGACTAGAATATATTGTGGATAATGGACCTATTGGAATCAATATGCTTTATATTCTTCCTTTAATCAAACGGAGATATAGCAACATCTTGCTATCTGACACAGTAGAAGCTACAGAGGAAGTGGAGATGCCATGGGAAGAAACATGAGCTCCATCACCTCTCCAAACATACTTTCCTCCTGAGGTTCAACCCCATAATAAAAAATGGATCAAATATTTCTCTGCAGCTAACAGGGCTAGACATGTGTTTTTCCTCCTCTTCCACCTCTCTTTTTTCAAAGGGAAAACAATTGTGCTTCCAAATACTAAAAGACACCATAGAACTAGAAAGGAGCCACTGGGTTGTATTAGATTAATTCTGAGCAAAAAAATAAGCAATAAAATAAACATAGGATCTGGGTATTTCCAAAGAAAAGATCTGCTTCTCACTTCACATTTTAAAACTTAAAATAGAACAACAGCTTGAAATTTCTACTGCCAGTTAGTAAAAATACACAGTCCCGCCTCCAGCTGCACGAGTTTCCCGCTGCACTATCAGAGCGTTGATGGATTGGGATTTTAGTGGACAAAGGTGGTCATTGAGCCTTTTGTGTGTTCCGTAAAACGTAGTACAGCGAAGTTAAAGAACTGCTGATGCAGGCTTAGCGTTGAAAGAATAGATACAGGAAATATAAACATCCAGTTTAATTGTGAAAACAATCATAGCTTTTTTTCAAATGAGACCTTTGAAAAATGACAGGAAAACCACAGCAAATTTAGAGTATAGGATTGTATTTGCAGACACACACACACACACCATAGAAGATAACTTCGTAGCTGATTGGAAAGCGATCCCATCTAATGAGAAAGAATACTAAAGCAACTTATTTCAAAAGTGTTGTAACTACAGCATATACGGCGCATTATAGCAAAAATTGGATTTGGACCCAGATGTTTTGATAAATGTATTCCACTTTATTAGATGGCCACAACGAGACAATGCCTCATTTGCAAATTGTTAAATAACTAAGTCCTAATTTAAAATGAAATAAATTCATTTAAAATGAAATTTGTCGGAAAGACAAATAAAGCACTTTATTCATCAAGAGTACTATACATTCGTGAAATTGAAGATATCCCAGAGATAATGAGGATTTGATTATTATAAGTAGCACAAACACCTAGGGTTTGTATGAAGAGGTTCAGAATTAGTATGTCCACTAGGCTACCCTTTTAATTTATACACCTAGGAATGTGAGAGCAAATTCTCCTCTCCAGTAGCCAAAGAGGAAACTGCAGGGCAGGATTCGGACTTGGAGATGTTGCTTGAGTGTTTTTCAACAATTGTTGAGATCCACCACCCAGAGCTTGGTACAAAAGATTGACGCTTAAAATCAGATAATTCTGAACCATGAATTTGTTCTGAGGACCAGGACTCAGAATCTTTCCAATTTCCTTAATCTCAGCAAAATCATTTAAAATTTGGGTCGATTGCTCTTGTTAAATAACTGGAAGTGGGAATGATGTGCACTGTAAGTCTGCTACAAATCAGATTCAGATCAGTCTCTTCCCACTCGTACTAATGTGGAGTGTATGTCGTTGTATGTCTTACTGCAGGTGGACATATATCTTTTAAGCACGGAGGGCCCTTTTAGAAATCAGGCATTTACAGAGTTGGGAAGACAAGTAATTCTTTAAAAATATTCATATATTCTTTAAATATAAGGGTGCTTACACTGTGCCTGAAACCTCAGACATTCTTAAACACCAGAGTTGAAAAACGTGACGTGCCAAGAGGAAGGGAAAGTGTGTGTGGGGGAGAGAGAGAAAGCGAGCAAGCGTGTGAGCGAGCAAGAGAGTATTACAGTAAACTTGTCATTCATCAGAATGTGCTTCCCTTCCTTATATGGACCCCACTGTGTGACTGCCAGCTACTGGCCAGTGTGGACGTGCCATTAGCTGCAGTGAGCGTGTAGCCCTTCGCAGGGTATTGGTGGAGTTCTTTTAGAAGAAAAAAAATACTGTCAAAAATTCATTTTTGGTTTTCTCACACAGTGGTGCCCTTAAAAAGTACAAAAGCAAACCCCCAGCAAACAGCAGTGGCATTCACTTCTCCCCGGCTAGTATACAATGTGAGACAAAATCTTTCCATGCCTTGCAAATAAAAACAAAGAGCCTCAGAGTTACTAGGAGGACTTACCACGTTCCACCCTTTTGCACACCAGGTTGTAAGAGCTGCTGGGGACAGAGCGATCCCCTGGACAAGGGAAGAGTAGAAGAGCCTTGAGTTTCTTTTCCCAGTTCAAAGAAGCAGTAAAATCGTTGATCAGACACTTCCTCCAGTTGTGCTCAGCTCTGCTGGGGCATGCATCTTTCCTCCTGTCGTTCAGGCTGAGAAGAAAGCAGAGAGGTCACGCAAAGGGACAGCCCCTGTCCTTGAAGCAACTTCACGGAGGGAGCTAAGAGCTGAACAGAGAGCAAGAAAGAGTCAGTGATGGGAGGAAGTTTAACCGATGAAGTTTTTCATGGCAAGGAGAGAAGCGTGACTTATCACAGCCCCCGACAATCTCTCTTCCCCAACCTGCCCTCCTGCAGATTACCCATGCTGCTGAGAATGTGCACATCTGGAAGACGCCAACTCAGGGAAGCGTTTTTATCACTTGCTAAGGGTCAGCTCGTGATCACGTGGAGCTGCTCTGTTTTTTTAAAAAGGCAGACATGAAACTGGTGAAGTTCTAGGGTATGAAAAGCTCTGCCTGTTGGATACCCATCTGCCACTGGTAACTGTTGAAGGTAAAGGAGCCATGTTAATTTTAGGCCAAATAAAGTAGCAATTGCAACCAGCAAGATGGTTTCACTTACTGGGGGTGGAAAGAAGGGTCCCTGAAAAATAAAACGGCTGCAACTTTTGGACCTGAATTCATTCTCATGATGTAGAGTTCTTTGAGGCTTTTTTACCCTGTTGGTTTGGTAGAGCAGCTCACGGCACTACCGGGGGGGGGGTTAGACTTGTCCTTGTCTTTGTGCTGCAACTAACTAAATGTGACGATCCTGCTGAAAATGATCACAAAAGGATCAATAGCGTGGAAGCTGACCATCAAAAAGCTTCCCCACAAAAGGAGGAGGGGTGGAGAAAGAAAGAAGAGTGGGAAGAGGAGACCTGGCAAAGGTTTTAGTTACAAATTCAAGCAGGCAGGGGTGTCTGGAGGGTGTGGTCAAAAAAGTCAAGATGGCCACCACAGTGGCACAACAAAGCTCCACCCATTGGCCAATGCAACACACATAAAAAAGAAGCAGAGCTTTGATTGCACCGAGGTGGCCACCATCTTGACTTTTTTGACCCCACCCTGCAGACACCCCTTCCAGCAGGTTTACTAATTGAAGCAATACAGATGAGTTGCTGCTGTTTCTGCCTAACAGCCTCCACCAGGGTAGCTAGAGAAAAGGGAGCCGGAACTGCATCCAAGGAAGAGGAGACCTTGAGCCACTCCATATCGATCGATCCCAATTCTTCGTCTGCATTACATGATGCTAATTTAACCTGCATTCCCTAAGGGTAAAAAGGAACACAAATGAAACAGGGAAACCGCTTTTTAAAATTAAGATGGAATGGTCATCAAATCCAGATGTAGGTTTATCATGCAAATAACGTCCAACTCTTCCTGTCATCAAATCTCCTCACGGCTACATCGGTGTGTATCGGCCCTCCTTCCCCCAGAAAATTCATCTGCATCACTTTGAAGAGCTGGACAATTTTACAAGGAATGCATGATCAAATGGGCTAAAAACCTCAGATACAATATTATGTTGGAACAATGGGAAAATATGTGGAATAAAGGTTTGAAATGTACATTGAATTATAACTTAAAAGAAAATTTTTATAAAATAATGTATCGTTGGTACTCAACTCCTGATAAGTTATCAAAAATGTATGCTGGTATAACAAATGTTTGTTGGAAATGTTTGCAGGGTGAAGGAACCTTTTATCCTCTTTGGTGGACCTGTGAAAAGGCTAAACAATTTTGGGATCAGATATGTATTGCTCCTCAAAAGATTCTTAAAGTGAGCATTCAAAAAATCCCAGAACTGTTTTTATTGGGTTTGATGGAGAAAGAACTGGAGAAACAATATGGAACTTTGCTTTTATACATGACCATGGCTGCAAGACTATTATATGTGCAAAGATGGAAGGATCCACAAATACTTACAGTGGAAGAATGGATCATTAAATTAATGGATTTGGCTCAAATGGCGAAGTTTACAGCATTAATAAGAGATAATACTGTTTCTAAATTTGTCTCCTCATGGCAATCCTTCTTAGATGACATGCTTGTGTGGGGAAAAAATGAGGCTTTGATTGTGGGGTTTAATGATTAGATGGTTTGTGTTGATAGAAATAAT